AATATCAAAGAACTTAAGAGCACTTCAGGAATATTGTAAAAACTATCAAGAAATTTCAAGGAACCATGGGAAATTTCCAAATATTTTAGGAACATTCTAAAAAAAATTTTAGGAACATTCTGAAGATGGTTAGCTCATCGGAAGGTTCCATTAATATCATAAACCTTTTCCGAACATTAAGAACTTCTTGGAAATTAAGGTAGCTTCAGAGAACCATCAATAACTTCAGGTCATAGGCCTAGCTATCTTAGAACCCAACAATTTTGAGCTGAAATACATTAAGAAACTGAACAACTGAATAAGTCTGTAAATTGTTTGATAGAAAGTTTAAAGCTTTTGAAAAGCATCAGGAAAATTTTGGGAACTTCAAAGAAGATCAAAGGACTTCAAGAGAGTTCAATTAACTTCAGGACATAAACGGGAGCTTCTAGAAAGTTCTGATAAATTCAGGGAAGTATAGACAACTTTAGGAAACTTCCAATAACTTCTGAGAAGCATCGATAGCCCTAGGAAAGTCTAGAATTTCGGGGAAGTTTTAAGATATCCACGAATTAGTTCTGATAAAATAAGTGATGTTACATGAACTTTGAAAACAATTCAAGAACTTCAGTGTAAGTGTTTAAACTGCATTAATCATTTCGATTTTACTATAGGAAAATAACAGGTATCTTAAAGGAGTTTCGAGAATTTTAGGGAAGTTTATAGAACCTCAATGATATTTAGAAAATCTAGGAAAACTTTGAGAACTTCACGAAAATTTGGAGAACTTCAAGAATACAACAAAAATTTCAGAAAAATTGAGTGGTCATCAGGATGAAACAGAAACATTTTAATTGAAGCTCCGCATTTCTTAGTATTTTGAAGTTTTATGTCGAGCTGTTTGTTTTACACATATTCCAGTGCCAATAAGAGGGAGCAAAATGATGTGAGCATACAGTTATACATTCTTATATTACAATCCACCGTCACGTGAGAGGATGTCACCCCGTGAAGTTGTCAGAGTTTTGAAAGACAAATCCTCTCATGAGCAGGGAATCAAGAAAATGCTATCTTCCGATACTTACCGACGATATAAATACTAGTTAACGGAATCATGATCAGTGTACAGTAAGATCATGGATTATCATTTGTGTTACACATCATGATCAGCAACAAAAACGATAATCTACTGATATGATAACAATCACTTTGTAATGTATATCAAAATCTAGGAACTTGCTGTCTTCGGAAAAGTTGTTCTAGAGGTCAAATACCCTACAATACGGATATTTTTGGAATCGGGATGACACATATATTTTGAAAATCAATGTAGGTCGCCATTTTGAAATCCGTCATCTCGGCCGTTGATTTCGGAAAAAAAAATGTCAAATACCCTGCAATATGGATATTTCTGGAACTGGAATAATGTATAGATGTCGAAAATCGATGTCACCCCCCATTTTGGAATCCAATTTGGCGGCCTTTGGATATAGATAGAACTGACAAATAAACTATTCAACATGGCGGCCGACATCAATTTTTGACATCTACACGTCATCCCGTTTTCTAAAACACCCACATTGTAGCAAAAAGTTGTTTCTAAAATCAATAGCCATGGCGGCATGCCGCTTGGATTCACAAATAGCGGCAGATATTAATTTTCTACATCTGCATACTATCCCTGTTCCGAAAATACCCACATTTCAGGGTAATCTTGGATTTCCAAATGGTGGCGGACATCAATTTTCGACAGTTTTTCTTAAATCGATGGCCACCATCTTGGATTTCATAATGGCGGCAAACATCGATTTTCGATCTCTATACGTCATCCTCATTCCGAAAATTCACATATTATAGGGTATTTGATTAGCCTTGTCTTAAATGGGGAATTTTAAGTGACGACAGCTGATGATGATGATCTGAGATTATCGCTATTTCATATGATCATGATCTGTTACACAAATGATAATCGCATTATCGTTTCCAGAACTGTCCATTGTGATTTATGGATTTGTACTAATCATGAGTGTAACCAAAATGAAAATGCCATTATCTTTATCTGAATCGTTCATTTTGATTCCCTGCTCATGAGGTTTGCTCAAGCTGAGGCTCAGTTTACACTTGCTGGGATTCAGACCGACCAATCCAAATTTCACCACAATTGCCAAGGTGGATCAGACTGTGTTGCGGCATATTTCCAACATCGTCGCAAATCCTCCTGCACAGGACAAATACGAATCGGTCAAAACTCGTCTGATCTCCCGTTTCGAGTTGTCGGCACAGGAAAAGTTCGAGAAATTGCTCAATTCCTGCGATCTTGGGAATATGCGACCGACTCATCTTCTTGCAAGGAAGCAGGAGCTGGCAACAAATCTGAATGTCAACGACGAGTTGACGAGAATGTTGTTCGTGCAGCGAATGCCAACAAGTATCCTGGCAGTTCTGGCGGTTTGTGAAGTCAAACTGGATCAGCTTGTCATAATGGTGGATAAAATGGTTGATTCTTCCTGCCCACAGGTGGCTGCCGCAGCTTCATCCGTAGTCCCCACTACTTTACAGTACCTGGAAGCTCAAATTGCTGCTCTATATCCAGTAAAATACGACGACTGGAAGCAGCTCCGTAACGAGATGGAACTCGCTCGTCGTCACGTCGTCGCAGTGATTCGCAGTCTTCGCAAGATATTTATTGGTCTTACCGCAAAATATCAAGCTGCTGCCCATCAATCTCCGTGTCGATACAATAATTCAAAAAACTGAATTCCTTCTCAGCCGAGACGGCGGGGATGAAAACGGAAACGATCAGCAGCCGTCTTATTATTTTCAATCGGACAGCAAACAAACGCTTCCTAGTGGATACCGGATCAGACCTCTCAATAATACCAGCCACATCGAGAGAGAACAAAGGTACTTGAACCCAGTGGCAGCTGCACGCCGCGAACGGAACAGTTATTTAAACGTTTTGGAAACGTTTCGTTACAACCGACATGGATCTACGTCGCAGGTTCCCTCGCGCATTTCGGGATTATCGTTGATCCCAAACATCGAAGCTGCACTCAATATGACAACAGTAGTTAGTCGAATTATCTGTTTAGAGATGTGCTGGAGAAGTTCCGTGAGGCTACGTTGCCGTCTACTCTACGATCTGAGGTTCGGCATGATGTGGCTCATCATATCATATCATATGACTCCGTTATCCTGCAAGTTCCGTCGACTCCCTCCGGATAAACTGCATGCTGCTAAACAGAAATTCGGGACCATGTTGGAACTTGGAATACATATGTCGCCGCTCCAGCAGTACATGGGAGTCCACTGCATTGTGCCGACTGACGAGGCAGTTTTCAGTGGCTCAAACAAATAGCGAATTTGTTTATTATCGGGGTTGGAACTGGTTTTAAAAACAAACGATCAAACTGCCGTTTTTCAGTAAACAAGCAGACCCAATCTTGATACCCGATGCTGGTTGGATACTTCAGGTACCTGGTTGAAGGAAAAGCATACACCATTTTCACTGATCATCGGCCTTTAACTCATGCACTGGGATCCTCGAGCAACATGAAGGACGGAAGCTCGGGTAAATTTCTCAATTCACATCCGATATTCAGCACGCAAGAATAAAGTAGCAGACGTTCTTTCCCGCGTAGCAACTATTTCGTTCCCATGCTCGGTAAATTTTGAGGAAATAGCGGCAGAACAAGCAGTTGACGGAGAGTTGCAGAAGCTACTATTCAACGGCGGCACATCGCTTAAGTTGGAGTTGAAGTCGTTGCCGCATGAACGGACGCAAATCTGCTGTGATGTATCGCTTAAAGACCCTATTCGTCCGTACATCCCAAAAAAGTTTCGCTTGAATGTGCTACAAACGCTACACACTGATTCGCAACCAGGTATCCGTACTAGCCGTAAATTGGTGGTGGATTCCTAGCCGTTGATCAACAAAGATATTAAAAAGTACGTTTAGTCCTGCGATAGCTGTCAGCGATCTAAAATTCATCGAAACACATCCCCACCACTACAGAACTTCAACATTCTCGATGCAAGATTCCAACACGTGCATTTCGATCTTGTTGGTCCACTGACATCCTCAAATGGTAAGCTTTAAGTGTTGAAAAGGATCGATAGGTTCACTAGAAGGCCTGAAGCATTTTCGTTATCCGACATGGCGGCAGAATCGGTTGCTCAAGCTCTACTTACCGGCTGGTTCTCAACCGATCAAGGACGACAGGGAGCTGAGTCATCTACTATGAATGAAACGAATTCGGACGACAGCTTACCAACCCCAGGCAAACGGCATGGTCGAACGTTTCCACAGGACAATGAAAGGCTCCCTCATGTGTGTGGACTCGAAGCACTGGAGTGACAAACTTCCGTTGATTCTCTTGGGACTTCGAACGTCAGTCTAATAAGATATGCAGTGTTCGTCTGCTGAAATGGTATACGAACAACCACTTGGGCTACCCTGAGGGATTCGTTCCAATAGTTCATGCCGGTCAACGGTAGTAATCACTCCAAGCCAAAGATGTTCGTTCCGAAAGATTTGGCTACATGTGTTTATGTTTTTGTTTGACATAAGATCGCCTCAATCAAACGTTATAATAAACGTCGATTTTCATAAAAGGTTATTCCGCTCATTTGTAAATTATTCCGAGGTTCCCACAAACTTGTACCAAGCATCTTAAACGGCAGATAGCGGAGTACCGCTTTCCAAGAGTTCCACCATTGCGAATAAATTCAAAAGAAACATTACAAATTGACGGCGCCGATGGATGAGTGGTAAGCGTGACCGCTTTCTCACCCCAAATACCAGCCGAGATTTATAGGATTTTCTGAGGCGAACCGAATTCTGGTAAAGAATTCCTTCGGAAAGGAATATATAGCCGTTAGTTCTTGCCCATGTGTTAATAGGTTCCCGGTGTGGAAGTCGCCTCCCTGATACTCGATTATCGTCGGTGATTATTCACCAATCGGTAATCGACGCTCGTCAGACAAACAAAGAAAAAGAAAAATTCCAACATCTCACTTACCCAGCTTCCGAGTGGGACACAATCTTGCACGTCACGGCACCGGTTCCAGCTTCACGGGCATCGACGGCCACGTGGTTCTTCTTGCCGTACTCCTGACTGGTCGGAATCGCCTCCAGCAGTTTGACTTTCTCGGCCTAAAATAACAATCACCATGTAATCGCTCACCCCCATGTTCAATCGCAAAAAAAAATCTCACCTCCCCAGTCGGAATGGCCTGCAGCAGGAAGGGCGATCCCAGCACATCCTTTCCACCGCACTTAATACTGACATTGTAGGGTCCGCACTCGTCCGGAACGAACGTCACGGCGTACGTTCCGTCCTCGACCTGTTCCATCTTCGGCACCAGTGGCTTCCCATCTGGACCCTTAATACTAACGTTGATGTCCTCTTTGCCGGGAGCTCCATCCGTGGTACCCTTCTTGGGGGCATCGATCTGGAACTTGGCCGGCAGGGATGCCGGAAGGTTCTTCTTGGTGGTGGCGTCTCCGTAGACCTTGGCTGGAGCCTGCGGTGCTGTCTTCGTCGGGGGTGGCTGCACGTGCATGACGAACGGACTGGCATTGACTTCCTGGTCCGCGAAGCGCACCTGAGCCGTTAGGACCGAACCTTCCAGTGGAGGGTTGTACGATACAGCGTAGACACCGTCTCCCTTGTCGTCGACATGAACGCTGATCGGTTTGCCATCGGAAGAGGTCAGTTTGACTCCGATCTTACCAGGTCCAGCCTGACCGCAATCGATGTAGAATTCGGCTGGAACTCCTTCGTAAACTTGTCCGTGCTCGATTCCGGGGCCATACACCTTGACCTTCTCCGGACGAGTTGCCTCGTTAACGACCACCTTGAATGGAGATCCGGGGATGTGCTTTTCAGCGAAGCGTATAGTGATGTCGTACTCTCCGGGTTCGGTTGGGACGTACTCGACATCGCACGAACCGTCACGATTATCAGTGCAACTCATCTTAGCTTCAGAAGGCCCTTCAATCGCTAGCGAGAGACCTCCGGCACCAGCTCCACGAGTTTCAACCGTAAAGGTAGCCGACGTGTCGGTTAGGGCTTGTTCCAGACCAGGACCATAGGCACGGCAGCGCGTTGGATCGCATCCGGATTTGACATTGACGACGAACGGTGATCCCGGTACGGGGACATTGTCGTACAACAGGTCAATGGTGTGACGACCAGCTTCGAACGGAGTGTACATGATGCGGAAGATGTCATTGTTGTCGCTGGGAACCAGCTTGCTCGGAATTTCGTTGCCACGAGGATCAAAGATGTTGCAGGAGAGCTTACTCTTGTCTACGTCGTCCCCGACCTTGCTCATGTCGACCATGAAGTCGGTCGGAGCGTTCATGATGACACCTGGAAATGATGAGAATTGAGCATTAGAATTCATCGCACAAACATCGCACATAGTAGTTAGTTCAAACAGTTTGTGTAAAAAAGCCATGCAAACTTCTTGGGGAATTCAGTTTTTAGTAGCCTGGGGGGAGAGCGAAGGTCGAACACTGAACAACGAAATCAACAGCAAGATTCGGGCACTCAAACACGACCGCTTTACCGTGCGGTTGGATTCCCATTCCGGACACCCGGATGCGGCTCAGATTCGGCTCCGGAAGGATGACTGCCTGGAAGGGTGACCCGGCGATGTGGTCGTCGTTGAAGGTGATGTTGATGGTGTAGTCTCCGATCTCCGTCGGCAGGTAAGCAACGTTGCACGTTCCGTCGCCATTATCGCGACAGTTGATGGCCGCTTCGCAGGGTCCTTCGACGGTAACTCCGAGCCCACCCTGGCCGGCTCCTCGGGTATCGATCATGAACTCTGCCGGACGGTTGATGATCCCCTTCACCAGGCCCGGGCCAGTGGCCTGAACCTTACGGGAATCGGAACCTACTAGACACTGCAGTCGGAAGGGTTGGGGAGTTATCGGAGTTCCACCGAAACTTACACTGAGAAGGTACTCTCCCAGTTGGGTGGGAGTGAAATTGACCAAGAAGCCTTCAGCCGTGGGAATGACGTGCGCTTTGACACGATTCCCGGAAGGGCTAGTGATTGTTACGGCAAGATCGGCCTTACCGATACCATTCGTTATCACTCGGAACTGTTGAAGACTGTTCAACGGTGCCGCTGATGGTTTGGAAGTAGGTAGAAGGTTGAGTTAAGAGTGCGGTTGGGGAATGAAGTGGGATACTTACTTGGTTCTAAGCCATCGACTTTGATCTTGGAAACGTCAACCGCCGGGTTGACGGTGACTTTCGGGGCTAACGGGACTTTTAGGCCTCCGTAGACCAGATTGGTGGTGTAGGTTCCGGCCAGCGGAGGAATCACTTCGACGGCGTAGGTGTTGTCGTCGTTATCGATGATCCGAACTGGGATCTTCTGTTTGGTCTCTTCGTGGATGAGGTTGACTTCGAGTAATCCGTTTCCGGCATTCCTGGCATCTACGTTGAAGTGGGTAGCTGCGTTGGGTCGATTGCCGGATTCCAGCCAGGGACCGAAGAATTGCACCTTGGATGGGTCCAGCGGAGTCGATACGTTAACTCGGAATGGAGATCCAGGGATCGCCACCCCTCCGTAGTTGACTTCGACGGTCACTGGCTCAGCGGTTGGAGCTGTGTACATCACTTTTTTGGTACCATCCGAATTCTTCATGAATTTGTGCTGAATCGTGTTGGCGAACACGTCGTTGATCTTAACCTCCAGTGGGGCATCTCCAGCCTTGGTAGCATCCACCGTAAACTCGGTTGGTTTGTTCGTAATAACGCTACCGTTCTTTTCGATTCCTGGACCGGAGACCTTGACCAGTTCGGGATGGAAGTCATCGACCTTGGGCAAGATGTGGGCAATGTAGGGACTCTTCGGGATATCTTCGTTATCGCATAGGATATGTACAGCGTATTCTCCCGGGGCGGTCGGGTGATACTTGACTAGAGCCGAACCGTCCCCATTGTCGTGGCACTCGATCTCGGCCTGCGAGGGTCCAGCTATGCTAAAGCCTAGATTACCGGTTTCACCGTTGGTCTCCACCACGAAGCTAGCCGGGTTTCCAACCATTCCGGACCTGAGCCCAGGGCCGTAAGCGACTATCGATGTGTGCTTCTGAGGTCCAACGGTGACTTCGAAGGGAGACTTGGGGATCTCCACTCCGCCAAACAGCACCAGAATCTTGTAGCGACCCTCCTTCAATGGAATGTATTGAGCTTCATAGGTTGTACCGTCAATCTTTCGAATGCTGTACTCTGGGATGACTCCTCCCGGGCCGAACACCTTGACCTCCGGGATACCCTCGCCAGCACCTTCCGTGTAGATTCGGAAGGTAACGTCTTCATCGTTGACGCGAACTCCAACCGGCTGTAGTCCACGACCGCTCGCTCTGACCTTCTTGGGATCGCAAACCGGTGCCACACGAACTCCGAACGGGCTATTCTTGATCTGTTCGCCATTGTAGAACACATTCACCGAGTGCAGACCAACCTGGTTGGCCGTGTACTCACAGCGGTAGTGGTTCTGAGCAAGCTGGCGAAGTTTTGCGGCCACCGAAGTCTTGTGATTTGCCGGATCGAGGATGATGACTTCGGGAACTCCCTTCCCGGCATCCTTGGTCGAAATTTCAAAGTACGTCTGCTTGTTAACGGTGACTCCGTCCGGTTGGATGCCGGGACCGCTGGCGGTTACCTTGGACGGATCGCCGGCCTGACCGTCGACGAGAACCTCGTACGGGCTCTTGGGGATATCGCGACCACAGAACTTGACGATGACCTTGTGCGGTCCTTCGATTTTCGGCACGTACGATACCGAGTAGGTGAGATTCTTGTCGTTGTTGAAGCGACAGTCCACCTTTTCCGAGTTGCCGTTCGGGTTGACGACGGCGACGTCGACCGTTCCTGTGGGTGGGGAGAAGAAGTTGAAACGGGGGTTAGTTTGAGCTTGCGATGGTTGAACATGGACATTTGTAGCGTACCTTTGCCAGCGGAGAACGTCTCGACGGTGAAGTTAGCGGGGGCTCCAACCACCGGTCCGGTCGGTTCGATTCCGGGACCGTAAGCGCGAACCCTGAACGAAGGGGAAACGGGAAAAGCCAGTGTTAGTAGTCTAGCTAGGATTGTGCCGTGTACGGTAGCGTAGAGCCGTAGTCCTTAGTATCTACATTGTATATGATATGAACTAAACAGGTCTAAACACAGGTCTCACTAGCCAAGAACAAGTAGTAACGAACGCATGCTGCAGTATTGAAAGCGCTGATATTTACATGAGCTTTGTTTTGAGGGTGTCTTGAATCGTATCGTTCTTTGTTTGTGTGGGTTTGTGTGGCGCGAACAGGTCAAATCACAGGTAAGTGATAGCAATTTTGAGTAGCAGCGGTAATAGTTGTAGATTTCGAGGTGCCATCTATGAGTGATTAGTCAAAACCGTTGCTAACGGCGCTACACACGGACAGATGTCGCTACTATGAGCTACGCAATTTTGAGTTCAAATTTGGAATTTCGATTTTTGAGGCTGTTTTAGAAAATTATGAAAACGCGCAAATCATGAAATTGACGGCTAAACGGCTAGCAATAATGGCGTTTGGCAAGCGACACGGCAACTTACCGCGGCGGTGGAATACTGTGCGGCGTGCGAGAATGAGAGAAAGATAAAATAAAGAGTAAAATATTGTTTTGTCTCTCCTGTCACCCTCTCGATAATTTGGGTAAGGATGGGGAAGTTGCATGTAGCAGCTGGAGGTTGTCTACTACAAAACTGTCAAACTAAAAGTGGGGGACAGATGGGTCAAAAAGACTATCTACAACTATATCGATTCAAGTCGGCAGCTGTGGAGTTTCGTCCGAAAAAAAAATCCTGGTCAAATCTGCCCATTTCGGTCCAGAGTACTCACCTATTGGGATTGGTTCGGGGTCGCAGGGGAGCACCTTGCTTCAGTTTCGCGTTCGGATACTGCGACAGGTAGGTCATCATGGACTGTTCGTCAATGTTCGGATTGATCATCTCTTCCGGCCGAATGAGCTGTCTCACGTCCAGCCAGTCATCGGCCAGGCCCATGGCTTCGGACGCATTCTGGGCGGCATCCTTCGGGTCCCACATGGGCCAATCGGGACACAGTCCCGGAGCGACTCCGTCGACCAGGGCACCGATTGCTTTGCCACTGGTCCAATCGTTGGTGAAGTTGTTGATTGGCAGATCCGGTACCAGCCGGTGGATCCAGTTCATCAACCGCTGCTTCGGCGTCGTGTTGTTGGCCTGATTCTCGCTGTCGTCACCCTCCCACATCGGCAGCGAGATGGAATAGTGCAAGATCAGCGTCCAGATCAGACCCATGATCAGCTTCAGCTTGCAATCGACGATGTCCGATGAATCTGCAGGGAGGAGAGAAACAAAGCAAACAATCGATTAAGCGATTAAGGCCACTTGTAAACTTCTATCGCGTCATCGAGCATCGTGCTCATTCATAACCCAGCGTGTCATATTTATTCTTGTGAAGCGCCGGGTGGCATCAAATCATTTCTATATTGATAGCGATGACGAAAGACCCAGCGCAAGGGAGATTCCATTCATGGCTTTCACTTTTGTTGCTTCTTTATTATTCCGGCGATGTCTTCGCTTAACCTTAACCTAACAATCATTCCGACACAGCCAATCGGGGGGCGATGATGTACAAAGTAGCATATGCTTGCTTGGATTATGAATATTGTCGGTGCGATTGTCATGGCAACAAGGTCAACGGAAGCGGTCGCTGCATGACAGACGACTACGATGACGTGATTTTGATGATGAGGTAATTTGTTTACGGTCGATTGGCCACTTGAGAAGTTGCATTGCATACGACTGGCTGATTACAGCCGAAAAATATTCTAAACTGATAAAATTATGTCACAATAGCAGTGCTAGAAAAGATTGGATTGTCATGGTGGCTACTTATGCTTAAAGCAAAAGTGCAATGACAGCGGAAGCGGATCGACTTCGGTTTCATTTGTGTCATCTGACAAACTTGTCGTTTGCGTTCCGCTTCCGCCCACATTGCATTTGTGCCTTTAATGCATGAAGGAATTTTTGGATGCCCATCCAGATTACAATTAAAATAAATACAATTTGATTGAATTACTTTACAGTGAGAAATCAGTACTGTCAAGGTAAATTTAGAGCTAGTTACTCACTAATTTTTCATTCATTACGTAATTACATAATTACATTACCGTAAGATCCCTCAATTTTCTGGAAGTTCTCGGAAATGCCATGAAGTTCACGCAACGTTCATCAATATTTAGCTCTACACTTTCGTTAATTTCTTAAGACTTTGGAAGTTCATGATGTTCTCTAGACTTCCCTGAAATTCTCTAGACATCCCTGAAGTCTTCAGTATTACATAAAAGATTCCACAATTTTCCTAAAGTTAATGGAACTGCCTTGACGATCATTGATCTTCCTGGATGCTCCTGCAATTTTCCTGAAGTTTTTCGAAAGTTTGATGCTCACGGAACGAAACTAATGTACATGGGTCTTGCCTGAAGTTTCATTAATGTTTGCAGAATTCTCAAAACTTCTGTAAAATATCTGCATTTTTACTGTAGTTAACAATACTGTTCTGAGGTTCTTTGATCTTCCCTGATGTTATCGGAATTTCTCTGTAGATTTTCAGAAGATTTCTAAACTTCTCGGAAGTTCTCGGTAGTTTACGGAACTTCAAATAAATTGTTTGTGCATAATCATTATCAAAATTTCGTAGTTCTTTTAACTTTCCTGAAGCTCTCAAAGTTTCCCCAGACTTTCCCAACCTTCACTGGAGTTCTATGAACTTCTGTGAAGTTCCTCAAGTTTTGCTTATTTTTTCTCAGTATCACATACACTTCTATGTAAATTCCCTGAATTTCCCAGAACTTCTTTAGGTTCCTGCAAGGGGTAAGTCACTCAGCACAGTGTGCTGAAAGTAGATTCGGCACAGTTTGGGCACATCCATCGGCACAAGCTCGTAGGCATTGGATTGTTCATTAAATAAAATGGGAGCACTGCTAGACAGCAGTCATTGAAGTTGTTCACAACATTACGTGCTGTTTGAGTGTGTATTTCAGAAACATATTCTAATTGAATATTTATACTAGAGGAACTCAGAGCAGATGGTTTCCACGTTTGCGCCGACCACCGTCAGAATGCAATCCTCTTTCGACAGCGAATCATCATGGGAAAACTCTGGTTCCTTCCAATTGGCGTAGAGGTGTTTTATTGGCCGGTAGAAGGATTTCTTATCGAGCACGATATTCGACCTGGGCCGTTCAATTATCGCATCCAACGGTTTTCGATGCGGGGACACTTTCGGTTGCTCTCCGGCTTTTGTTTTTCTTTGTTGTGTCCAAGCTGTGTGCATTCAAGCTGTCAGAAATACCGGGTTGCCAAATATACCATAATATTCGTATTTTACAAAAAATCGCAGCTTACTCTATGACCGGCACACTGAGAAAAATTTTGACCCAAGATTGGTGTGCGGAGTGTCCTACCCCTTGGGTTCCTGTTATTTTCCTGAAGTCAAAACGAAATAATTAACGCAGTTTTAGGATTTCAACAGTTTAAAAATAAATTCATTCTATTAAAAAAACAAAACGTTTTCGATGCTTCCCTGAATTTCTCAGAACATTTGAAAAGTTCCAGCCTATTTCCTGAAGCGCTGTACTGCCTTAAAGTCATCTCTTACGGAACATAGTTTAGAAAACTCTAAACTTCCCCCATCTTCCTAACAAACAATTATGCAGGCTAAAAGCTTGAAAAGCCTGCTTTCCTCGCTGTTTTCAATTGTATCAGGCTGATCCGAAGCTTGAATTGTTTGTTGGGTTGCAAAGATCTTCCCTGAAGTTCCCTAAATCGCCAAGAAGCTATCGGAACTTCTTGAACCCGTAAGACCAAGTAATCGTCTTTAACTCATTTTCCAACCAAATTTTATGAAAATTTGAACACTTACTCACTCAAGCCTATAGTTTATGGGGAAAAAAATATGTGTTCAGTTGTCTATGGCCACCAGTCCGGATCTTCACCGGTGGTTACCTGCGCAGTCAGGGTAAAAAACGGACCAACTTCCTTTTTCACTTTATTTACTTGCGTATAATTGCAATTTGAACTCAGTTCAAGATTTCTGTAGTCAATATTAGGTCATGCCGGAGACCTATAGCCTTCCGGAAGATCTGAAACATCCGGAACATCCGTAAAAGTGGTGCAATCTTAAAACTCGTCCTAGAGCGCTACGCTTTTTTGGAAAATGCTTGCACATGTTTTATCAGACCAAATTTGAACTTCTGACCAGAATACGGACCCTCGGGGTCACAGAGGATCTGGAAGATACGGAACATCCGTAAAAATGGTAAATTCTGGATACTCATCCTAGAGCGCTGTGGTTTTTTGGAAAATGCTTGTAGATGTGTTATCAGACCAAAGTTAGACTTGAGCCTGGAATATGGTCCCTGAGGGCCACAGAGCGGTTCTCTGGCTGATCTGGAACAACCGTAAATGTGGCGATTTCTTTATACTCATCCAAGAGCACTGCGGATTTTTGGAAAATGCTTGTAGATGTATTATCAGACCAAATTTGGACTTGCGACTGAAATTTGGACCCTGAGTGGTCCTCTGGAAAATTCGGAACATGCGTAACATGATGTTCATCCTAGAGCGCCGCGGTTTGTTTTGGAAAATGTTTGTGCCCGGAATATGGACCACGGAGCGCAGAGTGGTTCGAAGGAATATCCGTAACAGTGGTTAATTCCGAATACCCATCCTGAATCTCCGTGATTTTTTTTTCAAATCAACTTGCATACATAAATTATTTTGTCATTGTGACACCTTAGTATAAGCCCAGGATGATTCTCCGAAAGATTCGCAAGATCCGTAAAAGTGGTCGAAATGCAAAATAGAGCTTCTTGGTTTTAAGAAAAATACTTGTGAATTCAAATTCCATGACATTTTTTTCGGTTATTCCAATTTCGCTGGAAAATCTGAAGGAACTTCAAGCAACCTCCGGAGAAACTTTACAAAAGTTCCAAGGAAACTTGAGAGAAGCTACGAGGATACTTCAAGAAAGATCCGGGGGAACTTCAGTCCAGACACTTCTTCCCGAGCTTCTTCCGTAACTGAACTTTCCCCGGAACTTATATGAAGCTACCCTAACTTACCTTGGAACTTTGCTCAAATTTCCTTGGAACTTTGCTCAAGTTTCCTTGGAACTTTGCTCAAGTTCCCTTGGAACTTTGCTCAAGTTCCTTCCCTTGGAACTTTGCTCAAGTTCCCTTGGAACTTTGCTCAAGTTCCCTTGGAACTTTGCTCAAGTTCCCTTGGAACTTTGCTCAAGTTCCCTTGAAACTTTGCTCAAGTTCCCTCGGAACTTGTCTCAAGTTCCCTTGGAACTTTGCTCAAGTTCCCTCGGAACTTTGCTCAAGTTCCCTCGGAACATGTCTCAAGTTCCCTTGGAACTTGTCTCAAGTTCCCTCGAAACTTGTTTCAAGTTCCCTCGGAACTTGTCTCAAGTTCCCTCGGAACTTGTCTCAAGTTCGCTCGGAACTTGTCTCAAGTTCTCTCGGAACTTGTCTCAAGTTCTCTCGGAACTTGTCTCAAGTTCCCTCGGAACTTGTCTCAAGTTCCCTCGGAACTTGTCTCAAGTTCCCTCGGAACTTGTCTCAAGTTCCCTCGGAACTTGTCTCAAGTTCCCTCGGAACTTGTCTCAAGTTCCCTCGGAACTTGTCTCAAGTTCCCTCGGAACTTGTCTCAAGTTCCCTCGGAACTTGTCTCAAGTTCCCTCGGAACTTGTCTCAAGTTCCCTCGGAACTTGTCTCAAGTTCCCTCGGAACTTGTCTCAAGTTCCCTCGGAACTTGTCTCAAGTTCCCTCGGAACTTGTCTCAATTTCCCTCGGAACTCGTCTCAAGTTCCCTCGGAACTCGTCTCAAGTTCCCTCGGAACTTGTCTCAAGTTCCCTCGGAACTTGTCTCAAGTTCCCTCGGAACTTGTCTCAAGTTCCCTCGGAACTTGTCTCAAGTTCCCTCGGAACTTGTCTCAAGTTCCCTCGGAACTTGTCTCAAGTTCCCTCGGAACTTGTCTCAAGTTCCCTCGGAACTTGTCTCAAGTTCCCTCGGAACTTGTCTCAAGTTCCCTCGGAACTTGTCTCAAGTTCCCTCGGAACTTGTCTCAAGTTCCCTCGGAACTTGTCTCAAGTTCCCTCGGAACTTGTCTCAAGTTCCCTCGGAACTTGTCTCAAGTTCCCTCGGAACTTGTCTCAAGTTCCCTCGGAACTTGTCTCAAGTTCCCTCGGAACTTGTCTCTTTTTATGCAAGTTGTCTTGCATAAAAATTTAGGAACCTTCATAAAAATCCAGGAAGCTTCGGATTT